CTTCTTTTCGGGTCATTAAGACCACGAACATTCCATGTTATAAGTCGTAGCTTCATGAAGAACCAAAAACAATCAATTCACCTCCTCCCCTTTTACCACTCCTGGTTCTCCCCCTTTCTTTGGTTGACCCATTCTTTCCATCGTAGTTAACACAAGAAATCAAATTCTTCACTTCCTGTTCGCCTTTCCGATGTGAATTTTTGACTTTGACTCCTTTTGTGTCACGAATTGGTTCACTGCTACCATTTCCTGCAATAGTTTCGTGGAGAATACACAGGGTTTGTTCCTCATAACCTTCTGCAGAGACACCCAAAGCTTCACTAATTGCTCCAATATTCTCAATGACCCATTCCATGCCCAGATCAGTGGTTGTCTTCAAACAATCAGGCCGCACAACAGCCAAAGGTTCCATAAAGTCCACTTCATCGTGAGCAGGATCTGTCCCGGAAAAAGATGCGTTAAAAGGGTGCTGCTGAAAAGCAACATCAATCACTCCTTCCTGTAAAATCCCCTCTATTTCCGAGGCATTAACTTCTTTGGATGGGATTATTGAAAACTCCTCATGCTCAGATGAAAAATTGCTCAAACCTTTAACTGAAGTAAATAGCCGAAGCTCTTTAAGCAAAGCTACGGCTGAATCATTATTCAATTTGAAATGCAAATCTTTTCCAACACAAACTGTCACTCCATTGAGAAAACCCGTACTCTCGGTAGTAACCTTTGAGACGTCCAACTCTGATTTTGAAGTCGAAATCCCAATGATACTTCTCTGTTGACCCGAAACATTCTCAGCAACATTCCTGTCGCTAGCCACTTCACCCGAAGAAGAAGGAGAAGAAGTAGAAAGAGTGTTGAGAGAAAGATTAGGACTCAAACCTGGAGAAGAAGTGCGAGAACGTGCGACCCATTTCTGCTTTTCATTCCGAGTCCACCGAGATCCATGGCGTCCGACGTTCGTCAATCTCCTCTCGGATTTCATCAAAATATTAGAGGGTTTGGTATGGGCTTGTGATTCATTAGGACCAGGTTTGATGTTTGTAAGTGAGATAGATAATGAGTTAGGCCCTTTTCGTACCTTTCTAATAGGCCCAGACTTGAGAGGCCCATTTTGGAGTTGCCCAGTTTGACCAAATCTAAGTGGCCCTTTCCGTAGTCTTCTTCTAACAGGCCCAGAACCCAAATACGCTCTGTAAGGTTGAGATTGAATGAGCCCATGATTATCAGGCCCAAATTTCCTGACCTGTCTTGATAACTTATGGCCCAAAGTAAAACCTTTATCAGCCCGAAAATAATCCTTCCCTACCTTATCTTCAAGAAATAAGGATAGAGCTGAATCTGAAGGGGTAGCCCATCGTTCACCATGTGTACACCAGTGTTGCTCATCAACGACGCGTTTGCTCGGCGTGTGAATCTCACCTCGTCGTCTACCTCCAATAAACTTCACCTTTTGCTGAATTTCACGATTCTTCAGCCACTGTTGAATTTCAAGAATCCCTTCTTCACCTTTGCGAAGAAGCTCGTTCCATTTTTCTTCCGACATAAGATGAGATCCGTCACTGCCTTCAAGACTTTCCGTTGAAGGAACAAGCTCCGGCGAAATTTCTTCCCAAATCGCGACCTTGTAGCAGAAAGTGTCGTCGTTGATATACACAAACTTCGGACAATCACGACCAACTCGTACTATTATCCGAACGCTTTCAGCATCCCTGGTCTCATCCGCGTCAGATCTGACATAACCACCACAAAGTTCTCCCACTTCGACGAACAGAGCATGGCACCATAAATGTAATGGAAGCCCAAACAACCGGATCTGCTTGAGACCTTGATCACTGAGAACGCCACGGCAACCAACACGAAAGGACCACACGTCGATCCTCAAAGTTGCAGAACCCCATTGTCTTCGCCCTTCTTTCAACACACGTTTGGCCTCTGCCTGAGAAGGAAACCGGAAAAGAAGCATTGAATCGGATAACGGTGAAACCCCCACTCCATAAGTCGTATTCCAAGCCCTCGCTGCCCATTCTTTCACGCGATCACAACTCCCCACTTCCTTGTCAAATTTTCCGACCAAACAAGAGGAGAGAACAGATATCCTTCCTCCGACGGATTCCCCGTCGATATACAACGACGGACCGCGATGAGGAACCGCCGACTTCACATCTCCCCCAAGCGAAATTCTTGGTAACCTTGCGATATCCAGAAAAGATTTCATTCCAAAGAAACAAAACACAGATCGCCTCACAAATCGCCCCTAGTGGGGTGAAATCGCACATAGTGACGTGTACATCTCCATATCGGCTTCCTTCCCTTTATCAGTTATTAGGAGATTGGATTTGTTCAACAAGGCTTTGTTCGACAAATGGCTACGGAGATTTGGGGGAGAGGTCCAGATTGTGGAGGAGGATCATTGCTTATCGGAATAGAGAGGGTGGTTGCCTAAGGAGGTGAATTCTCCTTCAGGGTAAGGGTTTGGAAGCTTATCCAGAAGGGCTGGGATGAGTTTTCCAAAAGTACTCGATTCAATGTCAGAAGTGGGAGGCACGTTAGATTTTGGGAGGATCTCTGGTGCAGGGACATTGCTTTGGCTTGCAAGTTCTCACAACTTTTCAGGAGCGCGACGGACATGTATGTCTTTGTTGCCGACTGTTATCGGTTTGATAGCGGGAGTTTTGGAGAGAGTTCCATGATTGGGAGATTGAGGAGATTGCAGAGTTCTTAGCTTTGTTGTATAGTCATGCAATGGAGGAGGAGGGGATGGATGAGATGGTTTCGGCTAGCTCCTCAAGATCGCTCTACCAGAGCGTTCTATAGATTCAAGGACCTACTTTCCCTTGGAAGACCATTTGATTTGCTTGGTGAGCTGCCCTTAGAGGATTCTCACTTAAGGCAATCTGAGAAGGAGGCGTCAAATTGTGGTGAACGGGTATGTGCAAGAATGCGGAGGAGTCAATGTATCAGATTCTTCTTCATTGTCCAATAGTGAGGGATGTTTGGCCTGTGTTTCTTGCTATGTTTGGTATGCATTGGGTGTCCCCCAGTTCCACGTTGGATATGATAAAGGCTTGGAGAGAGAGTATAGTGGATAGCGGAGCCAAATATGCTTGGAGGGCCACTCCCTTGTGTTTATGGTGGGGCTTGCAGCGTAAGAGAAATAGGAGGTCCTTTGATGGAGAGGAGACTCGTATTTGGTCTCTTAATACATTATACTGAGTTCTTTATTCTTTTGGGTTATGGGCGAAATTGTAAATCTGTGGGGATATCGACTTTGTTGATAGCCTGAAATTATAGTTGGCCGATGTTGGCTTTTTGTGTATTCTCTTGGCAGTGCTCCCCTTTTGAGCGCCCTTTAATGAAGCCTTTTAACAAAATTGTATATCTGTAGGGATATCGACTTTCCTAGGGACCTTTAATATTAAGATTTAACCTTATGAATTAAATATTACTGTACCAAGGGTCTTGTGGCCTAGTGGTAGTTCCTCTACCTTCCAAAGTGAATGGTGAGGGTTTGAGTCCCCAAAGGGGCAAAGTGGGTGTGTGTATTTCTTGCCAATGAAAAATAAATAAATAAATAAAATATTATTGGTCATATTTATGTGAGCAGTATAGAAGGCCCTTGTAAAGCTCTAAGCACTTCTCACTTGTGTATACTCTAGAATGTTATGGTGTTTGATTAGACACATGGAGCAACTCACCATCCCACCCAGAGCATAGATTTCTGATGAGTTTGTCATAATTTCAGTAGAAGGGAATAAATGGCTATCATCAAGAGGGCTGTCATGTCAACTATAATTTACCGCCTTTGGAGTTTGGACTGAGATAGCTGTCAAAGTTATCTACCACCTACTAGCCTGCTAAAATCATTACTTAACAAATCTTCCATGACGCTTCCACCAAACTTTGGTTGGGTAAAGACTCACCAGTTATTAGGGAGTTCTTCTGAGGTTTAATTACTCTGCTTTCTTGTCGTTGTCACAACACTTGCCAATTATACTGGAGAGCCCCAAACCCCACCCCCACAATAGCTCATGGTGTCCCAATTTTGAGCTGTCGCTGCTAAGAAAACTCTTGAGGGATATATCAATTTTTTTTTTTTCTTATAAGTGTCGAGGAATATACTAATTATGATTGCAAAAGCAAAATATGCAAGGACGCCTGTATTTGTGGAGGCAAGTGGCTATCATTCTTACATTGTCCTTCCATTATTTCAACATATTCTTAGTGCTCATATTAGTTCTCACAACAAGGATTAGTTCCAGCATAAAGGAAAAAAAGGGTAAAAAACAAAATAAAAGTTAAATTAGTGGGGTAAAGGTCCAATCACATTCGAAAGCTATGGCTGAAGGAATCAGAGGGACCTGTGGAAGTTCTTGAATATAGGTATGTTGAGGAAAATCCGATTATTATTATTATTATTATTTTTTTATCACCTAGAAAATACTATTGATAATTCACTTGAATATCTACTTGACACAATTTTTTTAGATCGCCTCAATCAAGAACCAACAACTGATTTTTTATCCATTCCCTTTTCATTTGTAATTGAGCTATTTTTATACCTCTAGTTTTCTACATCTCTCTCCATTGTCGTAGCAGATGTCTATGAGACTACATGTAACCTCCCAAAACTAATAAACAACAGATAACATCATATAGGTTGGTGAGATGATATGAAAGCTACAAAACAGTTGACACCATCGTGTCTTATCACAAGAATCATGATTTATGGGTTGAAAGAAGTGCGCAGGACACCGACTGACAATCTTAAGAAAGTTCTTTCTATTAACACTTTATTCTATATATTTTGACTTTAAAATCAGTGTATGAAATGTTATTAAGTTACTATTTATACACACAGCATAGAGGTTTTTTTATGATAAGTCACACATCATAGAGGTTTTCCTTTTTCTTTATTTCACTTTTCCATAGAAAAACAGTAATGCAATTCAAAGATAAATCCAAAATCCTTTAATACAGCATGTTAGAAAACTCATACAACATACCTGAGTTGTGATCTGGGTACGGATTCTTCTAACAGAATGACGGGACGAAAGCTCCAAAAGGGACCTAACAAATAAACGACATAAGACTTCAGAGAACAATATTATTAACATATTATGGCAACTACAATTGATAGGGCAACAATTTCATGTGTATAAGCTTACAAATACTGACTCCAGTTTAATTACCGAAAAAAAAAAAATTTGTGACTCCGTATGTAATTCATCTACATCAAAACTAAATCAGGAAAATATAAAACCCCAAATGTGGGTCGGTGGACATTGATAAACCATAATGAACTTGAAGCGCTTAAAAAACAATCATTGACGCTAAATATATACACACGTATGCATAAACCCTAGAATTCAAATTGTAGTTTCTAAGAAAACCCAAATACTAACTTTCGAACTATAGAAAAGAAACAGGTACTATATACAACGGAGATATATATTTATATATATAGTTCGTACCTCCGCAACATGGTGGTCTTTCTTTGATCGGGAAATTCACCGGAGAGTGCAGTGGTGATACTCCAATTGATTGTTGAGAGAGAGAGAGAGAGAGACGGAGTGAAGTACGGAAACTTTGCCGATTAATTGATGGCCTCGCCTGAAGCTCAGAATTATAGGTCATTTTATATTTGCTTTGTTTTTTTTATATTTTCATTTTCATTTTTATTTTTAGTGAATTAAAAAAACCTGTTATTGGAACTTTTTTTTTTTTTTTTTTTTATCACTTTAAATTGTAGGAAAAAAATTATAATCCTCTTTTAAAACAAATAAATAAGTTGGTATATTAGACACATTTTCTCTAAAATATTACAACTATGTCTCTTTAAACTCAGTTTGTTTTGACGCAAAATAATATTCTTTTATTTTTACTTTGTCAGTATTTGGTAAAGGACGTACGTCGAGATTGAAGTCGAGTCTATTGGATCAGGTATGTAAAATAACTTGTCGAAAATTTATGAATAAATTATTTTTATTGAATTTTAATATTTTTTTTCTTCATTAATATTTTACGACAACTAAACATAAGAAAATAAAAATATATATATTTTGAAAATTATTTTACAAAAAATTTTAAAAATAAATAAATAACTATACCATCGGGAAACTCTTTGATTATGGAGGCGCTCCTTATGTTGGATATACAACGTTTAGGATCTCTTAAATATGGACCATATGGGAATTTTTTTTTTTGTTAGAGGCAAGCAAGAATTAGGGGTTAGTGGTTAAATTGTTAGAGGGGTGAGGGAGGAAATATAACTCCTAAACTCAAGAAGTAACCTATTCTTTCGGACAACACAGTTCTTGCAGTATGGACCATATGGTATTAATTTAACTGTGTTGGATTAAAAAATAATGTTAATAGTTTTGTTGGTCTTAAGGATTTTATCTAAAGATCAATCTAATATTTTGATGATTATGTTTAAGTACTAATATTTTCATTGAGTGATGTATAGATTTAATGATGAGTTATAAGGTCTAATCCAGGCATTCCAAGCAATGGATACAAAGTGATGAGCTAAAGTCTAATACAAAGTGATGAGCGAAAGTCTATTCCGAGCATTTCAAACAACAAATTCAAGTTATCAGAGGCATATCCAATCATTACTCGGACTACAACTATCATTTAAACATTTTCAAAGAAAGAAAGCATGACTTCATCAAGCCTAAACGATCATGGTCAAAGAATGAAGAAAAGGGGTAGTTAGGTTGGTAAGTGGTTAGGTATCAATGTTGAGGTATTTTTGAATATTTACTTGAAGCTCAAATTCATAGGATCATGCATAAGCATTCTTATTTTGTTTTCAAGAACATAAAAATAGCTCATGAACTTCATAAACACATTCACACATGAGCCACACATCATAGAAAGTATATAGGACTAAAATAAATTTATTTTAAGTCACATACTGTAATGGAGTAGGCTCTATGAAAGATAAAGCATGTTGCCAACATTCTAGTAGCCAAATTTTCAATAAAAATCAAACTCCCAGCAAGAGAGCAAGCTCCCAAAATGGGGAGCAGGCTCACAGAGGTAGGGAGCCGACTCCATGCAATGGAGAACCAGCTCTTAAAGAAAAGGGAGCAGGCTCTGCTCCTGGAAATCTGTGACCAACGACTCCTTTGACTTTTAATTCAATTTTTCCTTATTTAACATCATTATTCAGATCCTTAAAACTCTATAAATACTAAAGGAAGTCTGAAGGAAAAATTACACCTTTAAAAGAGCATTCTACTACCTTTCAAGATCATTAAAGAAGCATTCATTGAGCTTTCATTTCCTCTTAATATTTCATTCCATTTTAGTGATATTGAGCTTCATATATATATTCATCTTTACTATAGTTGTGAGCTAAACTTTGTACTACTATCTTTGAGAGATTCATTGTACACTTCATTTATATTACAAGTTATTGTAAAGGGTTGGTGTGACCCAAAAGAAGCCTAGGAAAAGGATGTCCTCCTAGCAAAGAAGAAAAGCAAGGTCTTACTTTAATTGAAGGTTTGCTCTCCACCATTAAGGAGAAGCTTTAGTGAATTTGGGAAGTCTCAAGGGAGGACCTTGAGCCGAAGAGTAGGAGTTTCTGAACCTCACTAAATCGCCGAGTCATTGTTTGCAATTTCCTATCTCTTTTATACTTGTGCTATATATTGCTTAAATATTTCAATTGATTATTGCATGATAGTTAGTTGGAAATAATTTTTATAAATTGCAAAAATTGCCCATTGACTCTATTCACCCCCCTCTAGAGTCAATTAGTGGTTAACAATTGGTATCAGAGCCTAATCTCTAGAAAAAGATTTAACCATCTTAAAGAACGATCATGGCCAATACAAATTTTCATCAAGAAGGTCAATTTAACAATAGACCTCCTTGGTTTGACGGAAATAACTACAACTATTGGAGAATCAAAATGAGAACATTCCTAAAAGGCCTAGATATAGATGTTTGGGAAGCCACTGAACAAGGAGACCATGTTCCAACCAAAATGGTAGATGGTGAAAAAGTTCCAACAACCGATATTGAATGGACCCTCAATGACCGTAGTCTTGTACAATGCAATGTCAAGGCTATCACTAATCTCTATTGTGCCCTAAGCAAAGACGACTTCACTAGAGTTTTGGATTGCGAAACATCCAAAGAAATTTGGGATAGACTTGAAGTTACCTATGTAGGTACTAGTTATGTTAAGGAATCCAAAATGAATATGCTCGTCCATAAATATGAACTTTTTACCATGAACAAGAAAAAAACTATTAGTAAAATGTACTCTCGTTTTACTAACATTGTGAATCCTTTGAAAGCTCTTGGAAGGTCATGTACATCGTCCGACAATGTGAGAAAAATTCTTAGGTCTTTACCTAAAAATTGGGAAGCCAAGAAGACCACCATCCAAGAGGCCAAAGATCTTAACACACTCCCCATAGTTGATCTCATTGGTTCATTGATGGCTTATGAGTTAGAAATGAATGATAGATGTTGCCCAAGTATAGACTCTAGAGAGGGGGTGAATAGAGTCTTTGGCAAACAATGGCCAATTTTCAGATTTGCAATTTCTACTAAACCCTTCTAACAATTATGTTATAATCAAGATATAAACATAAACAATTAATAGCATAAATCTAAAGGAGATAAGGGAAGAGAGATTGCAAACATTCACACGGCGATTTTAGCAAGGTTCAAAAACTCCTACTCATCGGCTCAAGACCCCTCTTGAGACTTCCCAATCCACTATGGTTTCTCCTTACGGGTGGAGAGCAAACTTTTACATGAAGCAACTCCTTGCTTCAAAGTGCTAAGAGAAACACCTTCTCTTAGTCTTCCTTTGGGTCACACCGACTCTTACAAATATGAAGCTAACTTGCTTCTTCTTCCTTGGGCCACACCAGCCCTTACAAATTGAAGTTCAAATTTGTTTCATACAAATGTATCTGTCAAAGATTGATATGCAAATATTAGCTCACAACTTTCAGCTCACTCTAGAGTATATATGAATATATTGAAACTCAATACTCTATGAATGATATGGGATAAGAGAGTATGATATAAAATGAAGAACAAAAGCTCTTTGGATGCTATATAATGTTTCTCAATGGTAGCAACACTTAATTCCGAAGTCCCCTTACTCTATTTATAGAGTTTCAACAGCTAATTCAAAAATAGAGTTGTTGTGCACGCTGCTCGAGAGGAAATAGCCGTTCAGATTCAGATTTGGGCAAGGTTCGGTCGACCGAAATGAAACACCATTGTGTTTCGATCGTTCGAAATGACTTAAGGTTGGCTATCACTCTTTATTTCGGTAGACCGAAATAATCCTCATTTTGTTTCGGTCGTCCGAAATGGTTAAGGTTGGTCTTCATCCTCAGTATCTCTGTTTCGGTAGACCAAACTGAGTTGGGCTTGTATTTCGATAGACCGAAATAGAACTGATGCTTCTAAGTTTACAATATAAATAAGGAAGTAGCCCCCATTTGAATTCAATAAAAATACTAGAAAATTGAAATCCAACTAAATCAAAATGTAGAAATTCAGTTTTAGTACAAATTTGGATTTCCGACAATTTTGGTAAAATTGAATCCTTATGTAGACCAATGTAGATTTGGTCAAAAATTCTGATAAAATCAGTTTAGGCTAGTTTAAGTATAAAGAATTATTACCGGAAAAAATTATTTTGAAATAATCATTATTTCAAAAATCCATTTTTCACACTTAGCCAAAAACACAGTTTTTCATGTCGCGCATTCTGGGGTCCTAATGCCCATTACCAACTCATGGTAATGAAGGCTTCTCATGCCTTAATTGTTGACCAATATGAATTATATGAATGATGTGCATGGTCTTAGCATTTCTAGTACAAGTGATGAGTTCTTTCAAAGCTTATGCAAGTTTGAACTAACTCACTCTTTAGCAAAGACTCCATATGTCAATTGTATATGAATAAAGTGCATAGTTTATTGCTAATGGATATAGGAGCATATGAATGATGATATGATATGCATGGTCCTATAGAGATAAGCTTCAAATGGATTCATAAATACTTTGACATTGAATCCTAAACACTCACCATCTTACCTACCCCTTTTCTTCAAGCTTTGTCCATGATCGTGTAGGCTTTTAGGTAGACTTGCTTTCTTCCTTTCTTTGAGTTACTTTCTTGTTCATTGTAGTCCAAGCTATCTTTGGATGGACTTTGCATTTACTTCTTTGCAACTTCATGTCTTCTTTGTATCTATTGCTTTTCTTGATATGATCTTGAATAATGGAATACTTGGAATGATCTTTCGTACTTCATTGAGGTCATCCTTTGAATGTGAATAATCTATAACACTCATTGTAAACATTAGTCCTTAAACATCATTAATGGTTTGTTATCATCAAAACCTCTAGATTGTCCTTGGATGGAATCATTAAGGTCAATAATAGAGATGAAGACAAAGAAACTCAAAAGAAAGATCTAGCTCTTTAAGTTACTACTAAAGAAGTTGCAATTGATAAAGCTCCTAATGATGATGAAGAATAAGAAATTGCTCTCATTACCAAAACTGTGAGAAGAGTCCTTCAAATGAAGAAGTACCAAAAGAGTAACAACTTCAAAAGAAATGGTTCATAAAGTGAGTAAGGAAAAAGAGAAGCACTTACTTGTTTTAAT